AATAATAATGTTATATTTATATAGCGCATATTGCACATTGCCCCTATGCGCTTTACAGAGAAATAATATAGGCCAACTGAGAAAAAGCAAATAACAATAAAATAATAACAATAACATAAAATAAAAATAATCATAATAGCAATAATAACAGTAGGCTATATAGTTTAGGTAATCAGTATATAGTTTATATAATCAGTATATATTTTAGGTAATCAGTATATGGTTTATATAATCAGAATATAGGTTAGGTAATCAGTATATAGTTTATATAATCAGTATATAATTTAGGTAATCAGTATTATTGTTTATATAATCGTCGTGGCGTTGCGTTCTACATGGAATCGCGTCGACTGACGACCGTCATGCGCAGCGCATGGAGTACCAGGCTTCCAGCTGAAACACATGCTGTGTAGATGCAATTGAACCGAAGACCAGATATTATCAGAAAGGATCTGCATGGCTCATGCATGGCTCATGAGTGCTGCAACGCATAGTCGGTACCACCAGTTAAAGACTAGTTTCCTCAAAATCGCTACGCTGTCGCTACAGTGTTTTCAGTGCAATTGTTGTACCGCGTAGTAGTCCCAGACGCAATCGGGAAGGCTCCCCGATCGATTCAACCGACAATCAGCATCACCGAAAACTGTCGGCAATGAGCGTGTGCGATTGTATGGAAACCACGCTTTAGCCGACTGGGCGATGGTGAACTCTAGAACTTACCATTTACTCATTTTCCACAAATAACCACATTTTTGTCTGTAGGGCGTCAACAGTATTTAATATCACTATAATAATATCATTTATTCAGTCCGATTTGATTTCGATATCACTGTAATACAATACTGTACATACAAAATCAAGGAGAAACGTCAGAATCAATACACGGGGCAAGGTCAGTGTACTAGATGAAATATCGGGATGATCCATGTAAAGATTATAACAATTGTTGCGTTACATCTTAATTTGAATAACAAGGTAATTATCATTACAATGGTGTTATGTTCTGATGAAAAAAAATCGTGTTCCATTGATTTCAAAGAAATTATAATAATAATAATAATAATAATAATAATAATAATAATAATAATAATAATCATGATAATAATAATAATAAAATAACATCACTTGAACAATTCAAATTACGTCTCAAAACCCACCTATTTATTAAGAAGAGCTAAAGCGCTTAGCGACATAATTGTAATTTGCGCTATATAAAAACTGATAGTAATAATAATAATAGTGATAATAATAATAATAAGAAGAAGAAGAATATATCATATATATACGTGATTACTCTCTTTATGATTTAACTAACTGCTTGTCTATTTTCTATTGCATGTGGTAGACCTGCTTATTGTTTCCGAATTCCTTTCTTCTTTCTAATTTTCTTGTCATTAATTGTATTTTCATTATATACTGTATTACATTCTTTTCATTTTCTTTTCATGGTTTACAACAGTTTTGAGCTTGTTTAGAGATTATCTGATTGTCTTAAATGTTATTTATCTCATTGCGATTGATAAACTTGATAAACTTGTATCGTTGAAGTCTGTGACTTTATAGTTTTCGTTTAGACTCATCGCATGGCGCAGCACTGATACAAACATACAGATAACGAATAAATTTATTAATATTTAGTTATCTTTATTTACTGAATTTGATTGATTAATTGATTGAATGAATGAATGAATGACTGATTGAAAAAATGAACAAATGATTGATTGATTGATTAGATGAATGATTGATTGATTCATTGATTTGTTGATTCATTGACTGATTGATTGATTGATTGGTTGATTGATTGACTGATTGATTGTCCTTTTTTCTATTTCTGTCAGATTATCCAGGATTGGCACTTGTTCGGTTTACTTGCTATTCTACTTCTAATAGACATTCTTTATCTATTAGTTTGGTCAATCGTGAACCCATTTATTAAAGAAACTGAGACATTTCTGCCTCAGGTAGGTTGATGAGATATGTACGTGTGTATTATTGTATATGCCTACTTAGACCTAATTAAGCTCTTTCTGTTGACCTCAAATAGTTTTGTAGGCGATACAAGTACCAAATTGTGATTTTAGCTAGGTTTAATTAAGCTTTTTTAAAGCATTTGCGTTCAATACGTAAAGGTGGTAAATATGTTTTTTAATGGTAGATAATTATTGTTATTTTAGATTATTGATCAGGACCTCACTGTGATAAAGATGAAAGATTCGTGTTCGTGTCATCGCCTTGTGCAATGGACAGCTATTCTCTATGTATACAAGGGGCTGATTATGCTGTATGGTGCCAAACTCGCTTGGGAAACAAGGTTAGGCCTATATAATACTGATTGAAATAAAAAATACAATAAATATTCACCAGTGTTGGTTAGTGTCGCGGCTATTGATGTCCTAATCGACTTTTAATCCAAATGCAATGGTTTTTATCCTGGACAAGCAAATATGTTTCTCACGATTAATAGAAATCGCTCTATGATAGTATTCAATCTGTCAATCAATCAATACATCATTCAATTAATCGAAAAATCAATCAATGTGTCAAATCAATCAATCAATCAATAATAATAATCAATCAATCAATACAAAAAAAATGCTCTATTTAAAAATCGCTCTTATAATATTATTCAATCCGTCAATCAATCAATCAATCAATCAATCAATCAATACATCATTCTATTAATCAATAAATCAATCAAAACAAATTAAAAATAGGTGTATACATGTATAAAGTAGTATGAGACATGGTTCGCAAGATGCTTTATAAATGAGAATAAACATTCAAGAGAAGAGTGGGTAATTAATTATGCAGTAACCACAGCAACTGTGAACTGCCAGCAGGATTATAAACAAAACAGTTAATTATATGATTGATGGCAGAAAACAACTACGTGGATATTAAAATATTGGAAGAGCGTCTGTAAACAAAATGTGACCGACTATGCGTAATGAACTGTAATGATATTCTTTACTGTTCATTCCATCGGTCAGAAATGATTACTAAGTATAGATTTGCTGACGTGTCAGTGGAGATATAATGATGAGTGAGGTTGTGATCTTAAATATGTTAACATCAGATTAATTATTTGACAAATTCATAATGATTTGTTCTTTGTGCATAATAATTACACATTTTTTGATAAGTGATGTATCCGTTTAATAGACTTGCGTCTTTGCATAGTGCCAATGGCCCATACAGAGGTGGTGGCGTTGGCGGGGGGGGGGAATCCATCATGTTCCATCCCCTTCCATTGTTTCCAAGGAAAAATTGCAATGAATGCCAGTTTGTAATCACTTACTTGATTACTTTTAGGAATGTATCGATGCAAGAATTAAATGACTCTAAGTATATCGGGCTGTCGATATACAATGTCGCCATAATCGCTTCTATTGCCGTCCCTCTCACCTACGTCTTGGAGGACGAACCGGAAGTGGTCTACAGCCTGGTAGCAGTTGCCATTCTCTTCACCACCACCTGTACTATGTGCCTTGTATTTGTTCCAAAGGTAAATGATAATTAGAATTTAAATACAGTACAGCATCATGCATCATCTGCTCTCGCAGCCTGACGTAGTAGTTAGGATCAGATTCTACGATATTTCTGAAGCTACCTTTGCCTCCTCAACCGTTAGTGATAAAGATAGTACTAATTCGAATGATAATGATAATAAGGGGTTTTTCGCAAGATCGAATATTTAGACAACCCTGTATCTGGATCTGCATTTATGAGTCCGAAAAACGGATACCCGTATCACATCAGAGTATTATTGACTGGTCTGACCCCTGCTGACAGTAGAAAACTAGTGGCGTAAATCGATGTTCTAACAGGTACTTGTGCTTTGGAATGTTTGTGGTATCTCATGGACTTGCGTATTAGTTTGGTGAGATGATTCCTCCAGTTGATATCTACAAGGTTGTGTGTGATTCGTTACATCATTGAATTTACCCTTCCGCTACAGTAGCTCATCTCTCACAGCGTAGGCGATTCATGCATATTCAGCTCGTACAGTATATTGTCAAGTATGTTTAAGGCAAGAATGACGATGATGATAATGACGTAATCGTATTCGTTATCGTTTTCGTAAGGTTGCGCAATTTCCCTATTAACAATAATAACATAACGATAATAATAATAATAATTATTGATTTTTATGATTTTTATTATTATCATGATTTTTTATGATGATAATTATGATTATTATTTTTATTTTTACAATTATATTATAGCATTATTACATGCTTTACTTACAGGGTTCAATTTTGTTTTTTGCTTACTATGGTCCAAATATTGTTTACCAAGAAGTGAATTTTCTGTTAAGTGTCTCATGTTCGAAAGGAAAATAAACTTTGATTTTACTTGATAATAAACACATATATTTGTGGTGTTTCCTACAGAATGCAGTATAGAGTTGATTTAGCATCTTTATTCTTTTTATTAACATTATTGGATATTTTTCTTATAAAACCAACTTAGTGATGTTTTGCACAAGTACCACTCGAATACAATTGTGTACATTTATCTTGCATTATAATACGATTAGATTGAATTATATTTAGATTTCATTAAAGATCTTTGAAAATCTTAGTTATTAACCTTATAACATTAAAATTATAGCAAATGACTTTGGCCTAATTTGAAAATTACAGGAGATTAAAATATTATTATGTAGATGTTGAATGTTAAGATTCTTGCCTTCCGATCTCAATGTCAATTCTGGTCAATTTTTCCCCGTGCTCCCTTTTGTGTGTAATTAATCTTAACAAAAACAAAACCAGTAACAAATATAACAAAACCAATAACAAAAATACCAAATAGTAATAATAATAATAATAATAATAATAATAATAATAATAATAATAATTATTATTATTATTATTATTATTATTATTATTATTATTATTATTATTATTATTATTATTATTATATTAAAATACTGAAATCTGCCTAAAACTCTGTCTAGACTATCAAATAAAAAAAAACCTGTTGTATTCCCATATACAGTGGCGTATCTAGGGGTGCGCGGGGGCGGGAGGAACACCCTCGCCAAAAATTACTCGTGTTTGTGTTAGGCACGTGCGTATTCCTGGCCTGGTCCGATTGTTCTGTTGTTAATTGATTGACACTCCGTATAGGTCCATTCAATCATCTTTGCACACCTCCCTGCGGCAACACAAGTCTCCGGTAAAATTTGTTGGTTCTATTATTCAAACCAACTTGAAAAGCTTAATTAAACAAATGCTGAAGCGGATTAGGCCTATGTTTTCTTACACAATTTCACAATTATTTTAAATATATTAACAGTATTAAAAATACTTAAAATTATATATTATATTAACAATTATTGTAATTGTTATTATTACTATTATTGATATTATTATTATTGTTATTATTATTATTATTATTATTATTATTATTATTATTATTGTTGTTGTTATTATTGATAACGTAAATTATGTACAGTAATGAACATCTTTTATTCTGCTGTGTTTTACAGATTTCTGCACATTTCTTATATCAAAAATTATTGAAACTTAGTGCTTCACATGGCACGCGTTTACCATTTACCACTCTCCTCATATCGATTTTTTTGGATTGTTAGTTATTAACTTTGTGTTGTGAAAGTAGACCGCACAAAGACCTCAAAAGGCAATTACAGGACTGGAGATGACAGAGAATTAGATATTAACTACATCATTCAATATTAAATCATAGAGCTCGAAGGTCAACCAATCGTCAATAAATTAATCAATGCACAATACAACTGACAGCAGTGAAAAAAATGAACCAATGCTTGCAGGAAATGGAAACAAAAACTTTTAAAAAACGCCAGCATCTCCATTAAGATTGCCATCACTGATTAGCCAGCTTTATAGGTGGCAAAATTCTTTTCATGGTGTCCTAAGGCCTCCAAGGCCAAAATACATTACTAGTTATTTATAGTAAATGTCAAGCGCTAATTATACTTTAGCGAAGCACATAGGCTTGCATTAAAAACATTAATTTAAAATATAAGGATATCTAAAAAATCATCCTAATTATAAAATATAATACCGGCCGACATGATGTGAGCATGAGTAACGAGTGGTATAGACTCGGTCAGAGGCTAGGTCTACCACTTCCCTGAATGATATCTTATCGATGGTCTCATGATAGAGTGAAAGGTTCGCATTCTTTAAAAAAAACTCTATTGGGC